TGCTGGTTTTGGAAAAGTTTACCAATTTCCGAATAATACTAACCCATAATTGTCGCCGTACTTGCCTTTATATTTCAAAACTTATGGACTGTAAACTTTCCTTCCAGAAACAGACATGCATTCTCCGATGCCATTGGGTAGACGCCATCTAGCGTCCATATGACTTCGCTATAATTATCAGTCAACTTCTATGTTCCAAAAACAGCATAAATAAACGTGTGAGTTGGATGCTACTTAGATGGACATTTCGCACTTTTAAAACCTATCCTAGTTACGAACCTTTTAGAACCGAAGGATGTGTTTTCCGCAAGTAAACCCTTCGGAAAATTCGTGACTTGCAAAAAAAGAAATACGAACACTGTTGCGAAGAATAAGAACATGTGCTCAACAGTAATCATTTCGTCCGAGTTTTTGGACCTGTACAAGAGCTCACCTCGCTGGACGAATGGTGACTAACGAGATCAACAAAAACAGCATCGGTCAACTTATCTGGATTGCCCAAAATCCGCATGTGGTAGTTCGCCCTCCTAGTCATCGGCGCGACCTCTTACCTGGGCTGTCTTCAGTTCGCCTCAGGCTCCCGTCAGTCGGTGGTTTGGGCCGCTAGAGACTTGGTATCGACGTGACGAGAGCTTGAGGTCAATCGACGCTGCGCCATTTTCCGATTGACTAGGGGCTAACAAGGCCCAAGAGCTCACGCACGCCTGGCACCGGGGCCAACGACCTCAACGGCTGACACTCGCCTGGAGAGACGACTTGCTACCACAGCCTGCTTGACTGCAGCAGAAAAAGCTTGTCCAAATATCTGTCTTCTCTGACCTGGTACATGGGGCTCTTCGATATTTCAACCTGTTTATTTCGACAATCAAACCAGCCTGTAGACTAGCAAGTCCTGCTGACCCGCCTTATTGGGGGAAGTTCTCAAAAATTGGCGAATACTCATGCCCACGTTTTTCGCTGAACGGTATATGGGCTTCTTGAAAGAGGTATGAGCACAGTAGGTGACATATCTCGGAATTAATTAACTGAAATTCTGAACTATGATCTGGATAAAAAGGTGATTCAGTAGGTCTTGTACCACCGGATATGAGCAGAATGGCATTACCCGACAAAGACAAGGGAGACTGGAATGGCCATTTCCGGCCCATTAACTGTCGTCAGCCAGTCATGCCCAATCCCGAAATGTGGAACATCTGGGACTCGACCCCGCGACCTGTTGATTAAAAGTCCAACGTCTCTAACCACTGGGCCACGAGCACGTTGCCCTGTCGGTTTTCGATCGGGAATATACAATGCTAGAGGGGCGCTCACCGATCGTTCTTACGGAACTCACTCGTTCCGTTGTGCCTTACCGAGTCTCTCTGCAGCCTAACCAGCAGCCACACAGCGGCGCATGATATAGGCAGAATGTCATTACCGACAAAAACAAGGGAGACTGGAATGGTCGCTTCTGGCTTATTAGCCGTCGTGGGCCAGTCATACCCAGCACCGAAGTGTGGATCAGTGAGCGCCCCTCTACCATTGTATATTCCCGATCTAAAACCGACATGACAACGAGCCCCTGGCCCAGTGGTTAGAGGCGTTGGACTTTTAACCAACAGGTCGCGGGATCGAGCCCCAGGTGTTCCACATTTGGGGATTGGGTATGACTGGCTGAGGACAGCTGGTGAGCCAGAAAGGGCCATTGCAGTCTCCCTTGTCTTTGTCGGTAATGCCATTCTGCCTATATATCATGCGCCGCTGTGCGGCTGCTGGTTAGGCTCGAGAGAGAGTCCATAAGGCAGAAAGGAACTTGTGAATTCCGTAAAAACGCTCAGTGAACGCCCCTCTACCACCATTGACTATCCTGAAGCGAAATCTCATTCCATTTCCGACACGCAAGAACGCTGGGTTATGAAAGACCGACTTCCCGACCGCCAGCAAAATCCTACTCGCTAAGAGGGGACTACCCATGCAGTAGGCATTATTTCGTTGATTTTCGAGGTCCTAGTAAGTAAAGATATACTTTATAAAGACAGGCTCACAAACATTTTTCCTTTTACCCACTTCGTTTTAAATTTCATCTTTACATTTTATATCAGGAGAAAGGCTATTTTTTGGTTTCAAAATTTTTCAATTCCCAAAGAAATTCAAATCCGACCTGTCGGTGCACTCGCGTTTCCAATCTACAAGCTGGCGCGTTCCGTTTGAAGAAAATTATAAATTCGTCCACGTACTTACAATTTGGCAGTGAGTGTGGATCATATTGTATGATTCATAATGAGTGTTAATAAACGCACGAAAATGATGATACTTGAATAGGCATTTCATGGGTTTCAAGGATCGAAAAACACACTTTCTTGAAGAATAAAATTCAAAGAAGACTTGATTCTGTACAGAATTGGTGCAGGAAGGGATATTCTTCTGCCTGCTTCTATTCAGTATGCTTGGATGTACAAGGACATCGAGAATTGACAAATAAATCATGTCTGAGCTGTCCTTTTTCGGCCAGTAAGATCTTTGTAGGGGACAGGGAGACGGAAAAATAGTTGCGTTTGCTCCAGAATAATTAACAGCCCAAGACCTCCTAGTATCCCTTCCAAATCCAGATTATATTTCAGAACTTCATCCGATTAATCGTTAGATACGCCACCTACTGTATGTATGCTTTTCTTCTAACACTATCAGGAAATAACTGAAATGTTTTCCAGGTTTTGCGACGACCGTAATTTTGACTGATCGTCTACCTTTTCGTTGTTCTGTGCAGTTGGTTTTACCGCTACATGCTTTCACTAAAATAAGTGCGCACGTCAATTTTTGCGCAGATTCCTATAGACACACTGATTCAGCACTGTAACAAGCACGCACTACATTTCCGAGGTAACTGAAGTATAGCACGATACTTGAACACAACCCAACTGTGTTCAGACTGCCTGTTTCTTAAAACAGACGGTCTTTAGTTGGACCAGGCTTGTTGTCCTTGCACTTTCTTTCATTTTTTCTTCAGTTAGTGAGACGGCTTGGAAATGCGAACGTGGAAACGAGGACTTATGCGTTAAGTAGCTGGCCTATCCCAGGAAATGCTAACCGAATTTAAAGATGCGCTTTTCATTTAATAGGATTATTTAGGTGAGATTGTAACAATGATTATTGGGCAACATAACCTCAAGATATTTCAATCACGGCAGGATTCCGACTTTTCAGTAAAATTCAGTCCGGCCGTCTGCAAAAACCACTCTCGGGCAAAAATGGCTGCATAAGTAACATGCATTTTTCCCCTGATTTCCAATGTTTCTTTTAAATTCAAATACATTTTTTGGGAATCACACGAAAAAGGATTCACTCTTCGACTCAAATGGCAGCAAATTACGTTTCTTACAAATATTATATTAAAACTAGTACTTTGAGTTTTAATCAGAATTTGTAGTTTCCGACTAATTTTGAAACCAATCAGCAGTTTTATTTGCGTGGGAGTTTCAAAGCTGCTTGCTACATGCTTTCCGTGTAGGGGAATTATACACTTCTCCAAACTATTATGAAGGCGTCGTATGGGGCTGCTAAAATTTTGCAGTGGATGTAGCGCTGTTATAGGTTTGATAAGAAAAACGAATAAACAGGCAAATACGACCCCATACGAATGTTTATTTTGCCGTTTCGAACTTTCCATAATAACAAACTTTGTTAAAGCCGAAAGTAAATAATTTCGAAAAGACTCTGTTTGCTGTAAAATGAGGCCGAGAAAAACAATATATGAAACAAATGACATACTTTGTTAACATGCGACTGAAATATGTCTGCCACCAGGGCAACTGTGGGAACTACTACAGATATTGTAAAGAAGATGAAGACCCGATCTCTGGGACAGTGGGTTTATTAGTCTGAGCTTTCGGTCTCGTACAGGAGGCCAGCGTCAGAGACTGTGAGAAGGCAACATCAAATGAGTGGTTTTTGTAGTCACGCCATGAAGGGGGAGGGGGAGATATGAGTGCAGAGGGTGGTATTCGCGATAAGTTGCGTGCCACGCCGTCTCACGGTGGCGTGACTGCGTGCACCCTTGGCTGGAAATTGGGTCTCGCCCCTTGGCCGCGGGAACGGAGCGCGTGATAGCAGGGGGGTATATCAACTTGCCTGTTGATAGCGTTGGTGTCAGACACCCAGGCCTCTAACAGTTCTCGTCCTGTCTTATTGCTGGCCCGCGCCACTATCCGCGTGCTCGCAAAGTTGAATTCGTGGCCTTCCTCCAGGGTGTGAGTGGCGACCTGAGACAACGGGTCGCCTCTCCGGACCGCCCGTTTGTGCTCCGTTATTCGTGAGCTAAGTCGTCGTCCGGTTTGTCCAATGTAGTGGCGAGGGCAGTCCCGACATGGGATCTGATAGACGACGCCCGATTGTTCACCCACGTCTAGGCGATCCTTCACTTGCATGATTTTGCTGCGCATGGTCGCTGTTGGACGGTGAGCGATACCCACGCCGAGCTCTCCAGCGATACGTTCCATCGCTTCGGATACGTTCTTTATATATGGCAGAGGGTGCCAGAGTGTTGGTGGCTCTCCTCTGTTTGTTCGCCGTGGGCGCGTGCGGAATGCACAGTTCCTGTTCAACGGACTGCTATATAGACAGATCGACAGATCATCAGGTCGTCCTCAGAAACGAAGCAAGTCTGCAAAATAACTAAAATTTAAGTACGTACAAAAAGCGATTTAAGTCGCTGTAAGTCACTTTATTGAGAAGATAAGCCTACGCCATTGAGCACCCTATTCATATCCGAAAATAACAACATAGTCAACTTTTGTATCAGTAATTTCGTTAGTCGTAAACACACCGGTATATGTGAGCCAGGCACAAACTACCGCCACTGACACAATCTTGTTTATATGTACAGTAGTTTCACAGCAAATGGTTATCTGTTTTCTGTTAAAATGCTGCAATAGTTTTTGAAAGGAAAACTGTGTCAGGGAGTCTGCTCCAATCTCCTGCGACCCTCTGCGAGAAGACGTTCCGTCGGACGTCCTTACGGACCAAGTTCTTTCAATCCTGCCAATCGGTCTTTGCTATGATTTGGCACCACATTCTGACGGATTACCGCCTTTTTCATGCTTCCTAAAGATTGTTCTACATGGTATCTAGTTCGATTTGCCGATTGATGCATGGGTTGCCAGTTTAAGCACATGTATTCTTTAAAAGAATTTGTGCGCTAACAGTTGTCCTTGCGGCAGTCCGCTCCCTTGATCCCCGTCGCTTTGTAGCGCTCCCCTTCTGTCAACCTCACATCCCCTGTCGATTCGCTGTCGAAGCTGCGCAAGGCTTGGCACTAGCGTCGTGAGAGTTCGAATCCAGTTGACCCTGCTTCTTGGCTGGCTGGCCGTGGGCGAGCATAAATCAGACAGAGCGAAGGCGCACACATGCACTCTGAGGGCTAGGACTCTTAAAGACGGACTGTGGCACATATGTGCCTGAAGAGAGAGCATGAGGCGGCTGATTTGTGTGCCTCCTGTACGCTCTTTCATATCAGTAGGTTTTGTCCAACATAATCCGCCCCCGCCTTGTGATTTAAGCATCCTCGTGTCATCGACCACTGCTCAGTTTCGCGCCTGCTCCTACTTTCGACAGGCGGTGACCCCGACGTGATCTAAACACAGTCACATACTTCAGGCGTCAAGGTGAGCAGCAACAGCTATGTACGAGTTAGAATCAAAAGTAAAAAAGTTCATGATCTATTGTTTCTTGAATGTATGCAATCGCACTGGAACATTAAGAACTTGTTACACAAGGCGCCAAACGACATCGAAATTACGACCTCGTCAGGCATTATTCTACGTTGGCTAACTTTCCTTTTAAAAGCTCCTACCGATTTTGACATAATGATGCCCGCAGGGAAGCCTTTCCACAGTTCAGTCACTCTGTTGAAGAATTCGAAATTCCGTGCGTTATTCGTGATCTTATTCAAGCGTAGAATGAGAGGTTATCTTCGCATGTCCGTTCTGGTGGTTAGCTTGAAAAAGACTCCAGGTACAAGACAGCAGACCTGGCCGAGCATGATGAGGAATGCTTGTATCAGGTTGCATCACAGCCGCCTGTAACTCAGAAGAAGGAGATTGAGATTAGATAATCGTGTTTTATTGGGTAATGAGCCCTGCCTAATTAAAAGTTTAGTTGTATGCTCTCGATTTTTGGAGGCTGCTCAGATCCTTAACAGTCGAGGGTCTTTAGCTTTTAATGACTAACTCCAGTTGCAGCTGCACAAACGTTCGAAAGACTTTAACGAAGCAGTCTTAATCGAAGGTGGGGAAAGCCCGCTTGACAAGGCATAAGGCTGACATCGCGGACTTGGCTAAATTTGAGCAGAGCAACGGTGGTTTGAGTGAAATCGGGATCCACGCATCTAGACCCTTATGAGTGCCCGTTTCGTGAAATGGTATACCATTCAGAGGGTAAACCCTGCAGTTTAGCGCCCGGGTTCTGCTCGCTCGTAGAATGTTGGTCTTGCTCATAGTTAACACCAAAAGGCAGTCATTGGACCACTGCTCGAGACGGTTTGGGTTCGCCTGCGGACGCTCTATGTCAGCTTTACTTCTAATGATGCTCCAAAGTTTGGTGTCTTCAGCAAACATGGCGACATCACACTTCAGTTCATTGACGCAGCCGGATACGCATATAACGAAAACAGAAGGGTCGAGAGCGGAACCTTGGTGGACACCACTCTCAAGCGCAACCCCTGCCGACCGCTAACCACTGAGGCGGTAAAACGGAGAGCGGCCGGTTGGGACACTACAAATCCCTCAGTGCTTAGGGTGGTATGTCATATGTGCCCCTAGAAAGTGTCACGCAGTAGATGCGTCAGGCCAGCACCGGGTCCATATGGGATACTGTCAGGCTTTATCCGAATGCACAACATAAAAAATCCACAGCAATCGGGGTGTGGTGACAGGCCCGGTTGCATACTCACTCCTAGCCAACTAAAATTTCTGCCACATCCCAATTTCGATGTCGATTAAAATCCTGGTCAATTGTTATGAAATCCAGGGGTGTGGAGTGAAGCGCAATGGTGCCGGCTCGGCTGCACCATCCATCTGCGCGCATTCCCACCTCCGGTCTACTTGACTCTGAGTTGACACCGGGTTCAAAGAAAGGAAGAGAGGAGGAGAGAGCGCAGTAGATATTGCGCAAGTCACCCTGCCTGCCTTCCCTCACCATGGAGCATACCATGGACATCGTCGGGGAGGACTTTGGACTATCGGTGGCCTGGTGACCCTGGGAATTAAGACTTTTTCGGCGTCAACAGTTGTTTAAGAGAAATCGTTTCGGCCAGGCATAGTCACAATTGTCATGCCTTCTGCTAAGTCGTAATCCGCAAGAGCATATTCGCTTTCCCTCATAAAGATGGACTTCAAAAATCATGAAACGTAATATGGTTTTCTTTACTCTTCACTTATTTCTAGGGCTTCACTGGTCTTCAATAGCAGGGTGAGATCTCTGTTGCACATGCTCCTTTTTATGCAGCCGTATAATTACTTCGGCATTTATGTCATTTTCTGAGGACAGGTTTCTTAACTAGGTCCCTAAGCGCTTTGCATGCATATGCCGGCACAGGTTTCCTATCAATGGGAGATTTTCTCAACAACCTTCTTTTTTTCTCACTTTTTTTTATCAATGCCTGCGTTAGCCACTGGAGTCTGTTGTTCAGCATCTTCAGTGTAGTGAAGCAATAGTTTTGCAGGAGAATGTGCAATAACCCACCGGACCGCCGCAAGTTCTCTGTCAAATTTCCAGAAAACGCGGATTCTTAGTTCATGCGTTTTACTTCGGCCTTCATTTGGTCGAAATAACAACACCAGATGCTTCTTATAACAACGACAGTCTGCTCGGTTGAGGAAAAGTGGAATATTGTCAGAGCAGTACAACGGGGTTGTTTCGACCTAGGGGAGGCAGAATCCTCACTTCGTCAGTACTCCCCAACAATCTCGAGAACGTAAAATCCAGGCTGTTTGACTGTTCTCCCTCACGCGCTCTCGTGGGAAACATGACGGCTGTGTGAGACATAGCCTGAAAGTCACGTCCAATGGACATCGGACAAGGGTTAGCGTTGGACTTCGTGACTAAACTGAATTCCAGTCGGTGAGTGGAGCAGTAAAGTCATCCACGATCAAGACGTCGGGCCAAGTGGCAAATTTTTTGTAGCCCCCCTAACAGACGAAGATCAGCTTCAGGGTCACCACTTTGTGGTCGACATAAAGTCGGAACTTTCATGTTCTATGATTTGTTATTTTCCTCATATTTTTTTCAGTAGATGCCAGTACTGCTCTAAAATTAGGATGTTCAAACTTCCTTATACAACAAACTTCGGACTTTGCATCCCAAAATCTCTTTGACGACCAGATGGGACAAGCATTTACAATGAAAGTTTGAGGAATGTGATCACTTTCAGCAATCAGAAGAATTGAAACGGCATTCTTCGACATGCTTTTGATCGGTCTAGACAATAGGTAATTAAGTTTTCACGAAACCATGTTAGAACGTCAGCGATCGAAGGGGTTGACATGATCCTATAAATCAAGGTATCTATAGCAGCTATTTGTTCACTGCAAGTCCTCACAAACGCGCTTAGTCAGATAACTGTCGAAATGAACATCAGCATAGACATTTAAACAACATATGACTATCCGTCATTTTGAACCTAACGATATAAATTCGGACGTTTGCGCAAAGTACACGAGCGTACTTAGGTATTTCTATGACTCTTCCGTGATAAATTCTTGGTTCCTTTCAAAAGATTATTTAGGTTTGCCGTTGCCGTTCACGATGTGGGGCACCAATATAGCCAGAACCCAGGGAAAGTCAGGTCATAATCATGCATACATTACTTGTCTTGAGTTTCGGCAAAAAATATTCTTGGAGATGTACAACCCCCGAACGAAAAAGGCAAAGTAACTTTATAACCAAAAAATTAAAATAAGGCAGCATTTAAAGTTTCTTTCGACACGTTAAACTGGTGGACTAGTATACTTTGCCGAAACGAATTTGGCTTTAGTATTTTTGTGCATGCTAACCTCATTGCAGCCGTCATTAAAGGAACAACATCTTGTGTTGGGTGAGACTAATCACAAATTCCGGTTTTGTCGCGATATTATTAAAAAATTTATGTCATAGACAATAATTGCGAAAATCTTCGAAATCTTAAAGATTATTTTAATCAAAGAGTTTTCGGGTTTCGAGGCCAGATCCCGACCAGTTCAGATCGTGATGTTCGAAATCCCCTGAAACATCAGTAGTTCACGCACGAAGTCGTACCTAAATTCTGCAGAAGAAGACAGAATGTCAGACTACGTTAGGTAAAATGAAGGACCAAATTAAAAAAAACCGTCACAAATACGGAAACTACCTTTTGAAAAACTAGAGACGTTTGTGAAAGTTACTAATGTTCCTAAGATAGCATGCATTTTCGCAGTTTAAAATTAATCTTAATCTTAATAAAAATTATCTTTGTGCTGTAAGCAAA